CTGTAGTGGGACTCTGCTTGCTTCCTGTGTATTTTCTTTCTGAGGTGTTGACACACAGAGATGGTAATATCTCATCCTTTCTCAGTTTTGTGCTCATATGTGTGTATGTGTTTTGTAACACATATATTTGATATGAAACATATATTAAATGTCTTTACTGCCCTTTTAGTGGTGATTAACTCATGTGTTCAGTTTGCCAACTCAACTGCTTAGTCCCCGTCTGAGAGCCTTGAGTGAAGTCCAGAAACCTGCCCCACACAGAAAGTGTACAGCCAGCTTCCTCAATGCCCAGCGCTCAAAGGGGACCAGCCAGCAAAGATTAACTCATGTGTTCAGTTTGCCATGTTTCACTGCCTGTCTGGTCCTGCCAGATGCGGCCGGCCACCTCCCCAGCGCTCACGAGGTCTGCTACAGAAAGTCCTGACCCTTGCATTCTCATTACAGTGTACGCAACAGAGTCACCCAATTTTCCAGAGCTGAAAAGACCAGGCACCCTTGACAGAGGGACTCAAGAGCAGGCAGGACGAGGCTTAGGGCAGAAAGCCATTCGCAGCCGAGCTCCGCTGTTCCCCTTTCTCCTGTCGCCCTTTGGGCCTGCGCGGTGCCCTCCACCCAGAGGCTCTCACAGGAACGCTGCCCTTACAGATGGCGACTGCACGCTCCCCCCACCCGGCAGCTCTCCTGTCCCCTGCTGGCTTCGCTGGCTTCCCACAAGGACGCAGCCAGCGGCACCGCCTGGCTCCCCGCGCCCGCCGAGGAGCTGACCCTCCCTTTCCTTGAATCTTTGTTTGCCGCTTAGTTAATTCCACCTCTGGCAAATTGTTTCTCACAGAAACACGGGCACCATTTTAATCCCTTTCTTCTCCCTCTTTCTTTTTACTTATTTCAAGAGCTGTTTAAAAGGCAGAAAAGGATAAAAAGTGTTACAACGTTCACTCACATACTCATCCCCAGAATTGACTCTAGTTAATATTTTTCACATACACTTTGTCTTTTTTATTTTAATCAAAGAAATAAGATATTCCAGTTAATGTTAAAGCCTCCTTTGTTCCCCATCAACAAACCCAGTCCTCACCCTCGCCATGGAGACAGAGACAACCACTGTCATGAATCCAGCGTGTCACCTTCCAGAATATTTAAGAAATACTTCACAAGCCTGTGTCTTCCTGAGTAGCGTGTACAGTTGTGTGTGTGTGCTTGTGATCATCCNGAAGGTAAAGCCCCAGGAGTAGCCCAAGTTCCTGTGCTTCCACCACGTGCCACGCACTCTGTTCACTGCCGAATCTGCACAGCCGTTTGGTAAGTGCTGTACTGTGATTTCACGCCGGAACCTGAGCCTGCCTGGGACTGTCATTTGCCTGAGGTCAGCTTGTGATCCACTTGTGTGTGTGATCTCCAGCCCAAAGTCATGACAGCAACACATGAGGGAGGTGTCGTAATCCTCTGGAACCCAGGTGGAGGTAGACAGTCAGTGCCCTAGCCTCTCAATTATTGGAAAGTTCCTCCTTGTGCCCTTGGGTGGAAAAAGCACAAACTAGCAGTAATTAGATCTGGCTTCTGTTGTTGACTCTATACCTGGAGGCTCTGGGATGTTGACAGATGACTTAACCTTCTTTTTCTGCCTCAATGTCCTCGCCTCTGGTACGGGGTTCCAATTGACTGCGTTGGGGACCAGATGAGGCAGATGCTGATCGTGAAGCACTTTGTGAGCCTAGTAGTGCAGGTGGAAGAGGCTTTAGGACACGTCTTGGCCCCCTTTTTCACTCTCCTTATTAACAGACCACCTACCAATATTCCAGCTACACCCCATGATTTTATATGCATTGCACTATTTAATCCTCATTCTTCAAGCATTGGCTTGAGAGATTGTTCTAAATCTTTTGTTTTTTGTTTTCCAGTGTGTTTAATTACTACTATGGCAACAACATCATTTTTTTCCTCCTTTTAAAAATTTTATATACCTAGTTTTCAACCTCATTATGGGTTAAATTGAGTTTTATAGGTGGGCCTGGGACCACAGTAAAAATTTATAGCTGTATTTCTCTGGAAAAATTGCTTCCAAGTGTCAAACAATGAATTACAAGGGAAGTTTTGGAACACCACGGGTCTGTGGGCTGAGACCACTGCACTATTTGCATTCCTCTCTAATTAGTTCATGGGATGATAGCTGATCTCCTCAGAGAGATGACAGACTTTTTAAGGGCAAACACTGCATCTTGCCTGGATTCCCCATAACACCCAGAAGGTGCCAAGCTTAAGCGTGTATTCAGCAAATACTTGTTTAATTCCTCTGAAGTCCAGCTAGCTACCTTTCTGCCTCCAGGAAATGGGTGCTGATGGGAGGGCCTTGGATGCCCCTGGGAAGCTCTCCAGAGGTCAGTAAATCATAGACTGTGAAGCTTGGTGACACACGGGTGAGACCCAGGGCAGCCGTGTCCACCCAGGCACATCCGGCTGGGGGGCAGTTATGGCGGTGCTGAGAGCAGCCGTGCTTTAGGGCCTTGTGTGCTGGGACTGTGCTTGGTGCTTCACAGTCAGCATATCCGAGCCTCACAAAGACCTTGTAGCTGTTTTTCTCCATTTTTATTTATTCTACACATACGACTGAAGCCCAGAGAGGTTAAGCAGTTTGCCTAAGGTCACAGAGATGCTAGAAGTGCATAACTGAGACTCAAACCCAGGCAGCCTGACTCCAGAGCCGTGCTGTCCAGTTCATGAAAGGTTAGGGTTAACACCCGTTGTAGGGCCTGTCACCTCAGTGATCCTCTCAAATGGGAGTATTTGTGTAATAATACAGTGCTGGCATTTCCTTTTGCTTCATGTCACGTGATTTGCATTAAAATCTTGGGCAGTAGGCAAGACAGGTACTTTTCGCGAGTACTCACATACACATCCTACCAGACTCAAACAGTATGAGCCCAAGTAGGCAAATGTCTCTTGAGATTCTTCTATCCAAAGCTGAAGTCTTGATGAGAATTTGCAAACATTCCTTTAGACATCTCTCTTTGAGGATCCATATGTGTGTGTAGATAGATCATTACAATTCAACATGATTGGGCCTCAGTCTAGAAGCATTTCTGTAACCAGCGAGTGGTATTTCTGTCATCACTGGACAAATGGAACCACGCTGGACAAAGGGAAAGGGCAGTGGTTTGGCCAGTGGAAAGCCAGCAAGTGCTGGGTCAGGACTTCAGTCCTGTGCACGTTCTTCCCTCTCTCTGCTAAGTGCTCCAAGCAAAGGCTGCATGTATTTTTTGACACTTGTTGCTTCTGTCCAGCGCTTGAAGAGTTTTTGTGATGGTCATGGGAATAGAAAGCTAAGAACAAAATCTTTAAGCTAAGAAGAACAAAGTCCCCTCCCTTCCCAGCCCCTCTCCACCCCAGCCCTTTTTGTGAAATTGTCTTGAACCTAATGGTTGTCCCCTGTGTTATCACTTGTCCTGGTTGTTTCCCTTGCTGGGACGGGTGGTCTGAGAAGCAGGTGATGGGCCAGCTGTGGTGTGTGCTCTAGCTTCCTTCCGGCATGGGGATGGGATTCTCATGCTCCACGCAGTGTGGACCGTCACTTCCCCTGATCTGCTGGAGGAAGGACGTGAGGCTGCCATCCATTGCACAGCTCAGCTTGGACGGACAGTGAGGCCTGTGAAGCTGAGGCCCAGTGTGAAGCCCCCCCAGGGCCTCCCTCACAGGCCTGCCCAGCCCGCAGGCTGCATCCCACCCAGCAGACTCCCCAGGAGAGCCGCATGGGTCTGGGACAAAACAGCTCCCTGCTGAGAAAAAGGGGCGAGAGTGCCCGCTCTGCGGATGGTCGGGCGGCACCACCTTCATGTGTGAATGATAGCATTTTTACAAAGAGTGATTTTTCTTATGCTGTTTTCAGAAAACTGCTTTCAGAGGCACAGACTTTGCACACAGGATGGTAATGACTTTTTAATGACCTTAAGGGGCCTGGTGTCCAGGCAGCAGTGAATCAGTCACAGTGGGAGGCTCAGAGTGAGGGAGAAGACGGAACACCTGAAACCAAAGGGGGAAAAACAAACCGCAAATGCATATATTGTCTTTGGTAGCATTGCTTGGTAATTAGACAATTACAGGAAACAGCTTCCCAGCAGCTGGCATTTCCACTGTGTGAGCGGAGGAGGGATGGCAACAACTGTGAACTCCTCACATTTATTATAGAAAATATTATTGGAGTTTACAGTCGTGGGTGCCTGCACGCCTCCGGTGCATTCTGATGAGCAGTGAGCAGGAAACCAGGGCAGAGCACCTCCTCTCCCGGTCTGTTCAGGGCCTGTGCCAGCAGGCTTCAGATGAGCTGGCTTTTGAGCCCACCAGAGACTGGCCTGTCCTGAGAATAGACCATCAGGGGGAAGCATTTGGAAGCAGCAGGAAAGGGTGGGGTGGCAGCCTGTGCAGAACTGCCTCTTCCTCCTCGGGTGCTGTCACTTGCACGGGGAGGAGGGTTCCGACCGAAGAGCCTGGGTATGCTGCAATGAGTGTACCCCGCTTTTCTAACTACAGGGCTGGAGCCCTGTAGCCCTCCCCTTGCCCTGCCCTGCCCAACCCACATTTCTGCCCTGATTCAGAGCACTCCTCCCAGAGCACCCCCAGCAGAGTCACTTTGCCCTTCAGACGCACCTCTGTTCAGTCAACAGCCCTTGGAGATAGGCCCTGTTCACTGGTGAGAAAATGTATTTTATGACCACCTGCCACCCTTGCTCACTGTTCTGTTTGGCCACACTCTTGTCACAATGTGATCTTGGCCTGCACTTTGTGCTTGGTTACAGAGAGCTGTCTAAGAGTCCCAAGTCACATGCACACAGGAGCACTGTCTGACAAGATGTGACGCTCTCTGGGCCTACCTGCCAGGGCGCGGCTTACCTGCTGTCTCCGTACCTGGAGCTATCCTCGCCCCCAAGCCTCCCCCGTCAGTGTGACCGGCTCCTTCAGGGGCAGGGTAACTATCCCGTCTAACCAGGCAAACTGTGCTCCCTTCACAGGTCCTGGCAGTCAGTGACTTTTGAAAGGCAGCCTGCCTCCTTCATCCGAATCGTTGGAACGCACAACACAGCAAATGAGGTAAGGGACCCCCTCCGTGGGGGATGCTGTGATAGTTCATGAGGTGCAGGTAAGGGACCCCTTCCGTGGGGGATACTGTGATAGTTCATGAGGTGCAGGTAAGGGACCCCCTCCGTGGGGGATGCTGTGATAGTTCATGAGGTGCAGGTAAGGGACCCCTTCCGTGGGGGATGCTGTGATAGTTCATGAGGTGCAGGTAAGGGGCCCCCTCCATGGGGGGTGCTGTGATAGTTCTTGAGGTGCAGGTAAGGGACCCCTTCCGTGGGGGGTGCTGTGATAGTTCTTGAGGTGCAGGTAGGTGCCACATCCGAACTGAAGTGGAACTGTCTGTTCTTCCTGCTAATGGCCTGTTGTTCAGATAGCTTGGTACAGAAGAAAATCCTGCTCTTGCACAGTGGGGATATCATGATCATTTCTGGATGTTCTTCATTAGCAAATGAAAGCCAACTCCTATGGCTTTGCTTACCTCCCAGCCTCTCAGCGGAATCGGCAGTCACAGAGACCTTGAGGTGTCAAACACCCTGTCCTCCGCCCTCCCAGACAACAGCTATTTCCAAGGTCCCTTGGCCCTCTGAGCATGGTGTTTAAGGAACCCCTGTGCCCCTGCCCCACAGGGACTGCCATGGCACACAGTTGCTAGATGCCTCTGTCTACTTGGTCCTGTGCTGGGCTGCACATAACTGTTTATAACTGAGCCTCTTCTTTCCATACTTCTCCTCCTGGCTGCCTTGGCCAGAATCCCGGGGGCCGGCAGTCACTCCTGTGGACCATGCTGTTTGCAGATGTCCCTTCACCTGTGGGTTGTGCGGAGCAGGTTTTCCCCCATTTTGGAGCCCATGGCCAGGGCAGCAGGCAGGTGTGGTGCCTGGGCCTCACATTGCCATGCTGTTTTCTCTGGAATGAAATGGCTCCAGAGAAATATACTGGGTTCTTCTGTGTCAGTAAAGGGAAGACAGTGCCCACAGTAGAGAAACCAGGGCACCTGAGTATGGGGAAGGGCCCCATTAATAACTGCAGTAGGACAGCAAGTGTAAACCAGGACTGAGCCTGGACTGGTGTCCCTGCAAATGTATAGATTCCCATGGGGTTCCCAGAGGCACCTCAAGATGCACTCACACCATTTCAGGTGAGAATAGTGTCTATTTCAATTTTGAAAGTTTAAAAAAATCAACCTGAAACTTAATTGCTTACCTTTTCTGTTCTCCATGAGTACTGAGTAAGCTCTGGTGGTGAGAGGCTGTGTCGAGCAGATGGCTGTGCTATTGAGCTAGTCTGCTTGGCTTTTATGCAGTCTTATGTGTTCAGTGTGTACCTCTGAAGGGCCACTGGCAGAGGAATCATAAGGAACAGTAAGGTTGGAACTCAAGAGGTAAGTGAAAGGCATAAAAGTAGTGCCAGTTCTGTAATTTCACCTTAACATGGTTTTTCTCAGGTCCTTCCAGGACTGACTTCAAGGGCATGTGACCAGGACAGTTGCATGGGGCTCCATACCCAGAAGGGGGCTTTGTGTTTGGAGATTAATGCTGTCCAGCACCACCTTGAAATTCTTAGTAATTTACCTTTGAATAAGAGAAGCCCCACAGGACACTGGAGCATATACCAGGGGCTTGACATTTTTGTTCCCATACCGGCCTCTGCCCCTTCTCAGCCACTCACTCCCTCACCCCTGCTGCCCAGCGCCCCTGTGCTCCTCAGCCTGCCCCCAGACCACTGCCATCCTCCCTCCCAGTGGTGGCCCCAGTGTGTGTGCAGCGGAAGTCAGGGGCTGGTGTGGATCCTGCCTGAGAGTCAGAGTAGGACCCTGGGCGCTGGTGGGGGTCTAACCACGCTTAAGGAGCTCGCCTGTGCCCGGAGAGTACAACATTAAATAGCAGATGAAAGCCCCAAGACAGGTCAAGGGATAGACTTTGGGAGAAAAGGAAAAGCTTTTTCTTGCTTTTTGCACAAGAGGCTCTGCATTTTCATTTTACCCTGAGCCCTGCACGTCACACAGCTGGTCCCGGTTCGTGCATTGTGTTTTGTCAGATCAGAATTCTCCAAGAGCACATCAAGGTGTTCCTGGTCCTTCAGAGTGTTTTAAAAAGTGAAAATATTGTGATGATGTATATTCATTTTGCCCTTTTTATTTATTTAGAGTAAAAATGATACACACTCAGAATGTTTTTCTTGCAGAGAAGAGCCTGAAACTTGTTCTCTTACCTCTTCACTTCAAAACAAGCTTGAAAATTATAAATGAACCTGTTGATAATTTCAAAGCACAAAATTAAAGAATTCTAAACATCGGGTCATAAAAGCACTTTTTCCTCTTTTTGATGATGTCGCAAAAGTAAATATGAATCTGCATTTTAATATATATTTGAGCCCCAAATCAAACGTATTTGATTCAATTTTGCCAATCAATCCCAGTTTTTCTCACTATTTAAATTTATATTAATATGTATTTTTTACTTACTACATTGGAAAATAATTGAAATTTATCTTTCATAGTTTAGCTAAAATACAATATTTTTCATTTATAGCCACTTGTTTTTTATATAAGGCATCCCACCACCACCACCAAAAAAGATCAATTTTTTCTTTAACTTCTATGTGGGACTCTGCAAATTTGTATCATGACAGGAGGGATTCTGAAGTCAGAGAGGCTGGGCGGCGCTGGAGTGAGTCTGACCAGGTCTTCCAGCTCTCAGCCCAGCCCGTCACCCCAGTGGCTAGGTGAAGAATAGTTTCCCATTACAGAGCTCAAGGTGGGAGTGCAAGCTCCTCTTTTCCTGCTCTGTGCCGAGGGGCCCCAACCCCTTTGCTACCCTACTTGGAGACTAGACCAGGCAGTTTAAAAGGGTTGACTACTAAGGCACCAGGTAACTGGTGATCTATCCCACTTGGCTAATGAGCAGCTCTCTCAGATACTTCACTGAGTCAGTTATTGATCAGGGAAAAGCTTCCATGTAGTGTTGTCAACTGGGAATCATCTTAAATCGTAAACTACATAATGAACAGGATCGTAAGGCAAGATCCATAAACTGTCATACTGAGAGAACAAAAGCACACAAAAAAAGAAATTTCACTGGGCATCAAGAATATAGCAAACCCTCAAAGAGATCGTCTTCACAGCAGCATACCGAGTTCTGGGACCTCATTCGGAAAAAGTAGCGTCACCTGTCCTGGAGGGCAGCGGTAGAGTGTCGAGCTCAGTGTGGCAGGCTTGGAAGCAGGAGGGCCAGGGGTCGCACTAAGGGAGGGGCTGACGTGGGCTAGGCAGGCAGGACTCCAGGGAGAGGTAGCGCTCACGGGAAACAGGGCGGCACCAACAGCTGGGAAAGGACGTGGGGCAGTCAGGAAACCAGGGTGGGCGGGGGTCCTGGGCAGCCCTGATCCGCAGTCCCAGGGGAGCCAAACCATGCCCCCAGGAGAGTGGGGCCTGGCACCTCTTTCTCCTGGTGGAGAGCAGGGTGGCATGGAGGCAGGGTTTCCTCAGTCTGTCATTACCTGTTTGCCAAGTGGTATCAGTGGCCTTCGTTTCCGTGGAGCCAGGACCATTACATACTGAATGTTACCAGCCCAAAACCTTGTGCTACTTGGAAGCACAGATGGAATGGTTTTTAACTTGGGAAGGAAACACTGTGTGGTTAACAGAAAGGGAAATGTGGGTGCGTAAGCTCTTCACCACATCTCCCAGGTAAGGATGTTTCCTATGGGTGCTACGCCATCCGGAGAGACTTGTGCAGAGATGGGGGTGGTGGGGAAAGTGCAGTGTGGAGGCTCCTGTGAACTGAAGGGCATTCAGAGGCGGTGGTGGGTGGGCTGCTTTGGGGGGAAGCGGCCTGCACTGATTGGACGTGGCCAGAGCTGCTGGCACCTGTGCCACTAGGGCTGCTACCGGACTAGCAGAGGCCTCTGTGCTGAACAGGTTGGGACTTCTTGCCTGAGGTGGGCATGCATCTGTCTTGCCCCAATTGGCCAGGCCTCCCCACATGCAAGGCTCCCCGTTCGTCTGCTGTGTGTTCACTTGCCCCACTTCCTGCTGTCCTTGTGGCTCTCAGGTGCCAGCAGCCTCTACGGTCTGTGGAGGTTCAGATGTCTTGATCGCTTGTTGTGGCGCACTTCTGCCTTCCTGCGGCATTTCATCCTCTCCTCTGGGAAGTGTGTGTCTGCTGCTGGTGTCTGCCTCTCATCTTCCTTTGTGAGCACCACAGCGATGAATTCGTTTAGTTTTTTAGCTCCGTTTATGACTTCTGTCAGCCCTAATGCTTACCTTAAAGACTCCACCGCTTCCTTCAGTGGCCTCCTGCCCCATATGTACTTGGCACCGTCCTGTCACTTACCTTAACTTGGCCGAGCATTGTCCTTCTGCCTCGCACCAGCGTGGGATCTCTGTCGGGCTCCGCCCTGTGATCTCCCAGTGCTGGCCGGGCTCACGCGCCTCACGCTGCTGTCTTTGCCCTTTTGCGCGCCCTCCCCTGCCCGCTCCCCAGGGCTCCTTTGTCTTCCTCTCCCGCCAGCACTAGATGGCAGGCACCCGTCAGCTTGTCTGTCAGTGCGCCCACCGCCCGTCCCACCCTGCTTACGGGGTCTTAGGGTCTCGTTCATCTGAGTCTCGCCAGTGCCTGTAGCCCTAAAGGTCCTCCTCGCCGTTCCCTCAGTGGCCGGCCTAGCAGGTGTGGGCTCATCCAGCATGGGCGCCCCCTGCGCCGACCGCGGATCGACTCTGAGTTACTCAGGGGGCTGACTTTGCTACCCTTTCTAAGTCTCTCTTGTCTGAAAAAGGTGGGAAACTGGGTCTGGTTGATGACACCACACATGTCACGGTGGGTCTGAAGTTTCAGTTCGTGACTGTGCCGCAGAGACACGTGCCTCTCAAGGACGCCTTCATTTTCCTTCCATTAATCATCATGGCAAAGTAACAAAGGCACAGACCTGCATCCATCAAGAGAGGAGGCCGGGTCCGAATGAGATGTGTCTGTGTACCTATGAAAGTCAGTGTATTAAAAGAAGTAAGAAGT